AAGACATTGTACAATTTCTTTTGAACCAATGGGATTTGATATAGGAATTGGGGGGAATTTTTGTTTTCCAAATTTGTAATTGCAAACAGTGCCAACAATTCATTCCATTATCGACCCTAACTCTCATCCGTTAAAAGCCATTGTCCGTATGAAATACACTGTTCAGCAGGAACCCGTCCAATTAAAATCTAGCACATTGTAGTGGAAATTACAAAGAAATTTGCACAGTGTCTCAAAGTGATTGCATCCATTCGTTAGAAAGCAAAATGCTCACACGCAAGGGCCTGACTTTACCTTTTATGCACAACAGACTCGGAAATCTGAACTCCATAGAAATACAACCCCAAGAGCTGAAAGGGACATTTTTGAGGGGGAAAACCAACCCCAAGTTCATTTTGCTTTTAGATATTAATAGATAATATGGTGTAATGTTTACCTTGAAATTTGAGAAATAATTCCAAAAATTAAACTAATAAAAAATAATACTATTTATATGCAGGACCTGAACGACGAGTTCTGCCTAGATGAGTCGCGAGCAGCCTCCAGCGGCAACAGACGAGCAACAGACCTCAGTTTCAGAGATGGTGATTCCCAGCGAGTCTACGACGGCAAACGGTGATTTCATTGTGCGTGGATATATACATAGTTCTACTAGAAGTGAGCATACACAAACGCAAAGTTGAGCATAACATCGATTTTAGATGAGCTTTATAAATTTTTCGATGCTCGTTTCATAATTTATATATGCTCAATTGATATTGGTGTAATACTCATTTTAAAATGTCATACTCATGCATATTTGAAAAGTATAATATCACACTAAATTCACATAATAGATTTATACGGGTTCATCGTAGATATTTAAAAAAATAAGAAAAACAATGTGAATTCTAATATAGGAAGCCGATATCACGATGCTAATGTTGGTTGTGTTTTGGAAAATGATAAACCCAGAATACAAACAATCAAACAATCTAAGCAGTTAAAGAAGAAGCAGATAGAAAGATATGTTGATATTATACACGAATCTGGTATACCGTATGAAACCCCGTTGCTCTCCCTGGAGAAGGAGAGCAGCGGAAACCCTCCTCTCTCTATCTCGCCTCTTGCGCTCTCAGCCTCTATCCGATAGTTAGGGTTCCCGTAAGTTAGCCTCCTTTTATAGGAGAAGTTGGCTAACTTACGGGTTACAAGGAAGCCCCCGGGCTGATACACATTTGTGGCCCGTATTACACGTTTAATTAATAACTAAACAAATACAAAGATAACTAACTAGATTGGACACCATAAAATATTCCTAACAATCTCCCCCTTGGTGATCAATCGTGTTGAATCAGCATTGCAGCGCAGATATCTTTGTCTTTGTTGTTATTGAGCTTCCTTTGTCTTTGAACTTGACTTCTGAGGAAGGCTATCTAAAGAAATCCTTGCAATCTCCCCTATGATGTCTTCTTGACAATTTGCTCTTTGATGCCGGGGGTTGAGGGACCTTCAGTATCTTGCATGTAGTCCTTGCCTTCCAGAAGTTGCTCTTGATCAGCTTGGATGAAGTCCGGTGACGCCTCTAGAATGAATATTCTTTGGAGAATAGGAGACGCCCGTGGATGAAGTCCGGTGACGCCCGTTGATATTGAAAGAATTTGAACAGATTTGCCTAAGTTTTGACCTGGACATCGGTGATTTACAATGTTTGTCGGAAAACTAACGTTTTGACCCTCAAGGACTGCGAGTGAGGGCGCGTGAGAATGGGTTCTAGGGCATAGCCCGAGAATTGATGTAGATCTGTTCGTTAGCTTTCCAACAAAAAAAATGGTCAAATCGGATCACCGAGTCAAAAGTTATGGCCAAAACAGTGCGGTGTCGCAGAAAATCTCTAATTTTGAGTTTTTGAGGAATTTCTTCGAAGTTGAGGTTCTCGATGTTGAATATCGAGAGCAGGTGGATTTTAAACAAAATTCTAAGGCAATACCTCGAAATCCTAATCTCGAGGTTTAAATCTCGAGATTACAATCTCGAGTTTTAAATCTCGAGATTACAATCTCGAGGTTTAAATCTCGAGATTACAATCTCGAGGTTTAAATCTCGAGATTACAATCTCGAGGTTTAAATCTCGAGATTACAATCTCGAGCTTTAAATCTCGAGATTACAATCTCGAGCTTTAAATCTCGAGATTTTAATCTCGAGTTTGCCTCGAAGAATAATGGCGAAATCCACCTGCAAAACAAACCTCAGAATATCGAAATCTGCAGAATTTCAAAATGTTTGGAACATCGAAAACTTTGGAGTTTCGAAAACATTAGAAAATCGAAAACTTGCTGTTTGAAAAACATCAGAACATCGAAAACTTCTAAAAACTTTGATAGGCAGAGATTCATTCAGATATCTTAAAATGTAAAGCTTCGAAGTGTTCTGAACAGGAAAGATATCAAGTTTAGAAGAAATCAGTGATTCAAGAAACTCCAAACTTTGAAAAAATCAAAACATCGAGAAATTTTGAAAATCTCGAAATCTTCAGAATGTCGAGATCCAAAACATCGAGATCCCAAGCTGGAGAAAGATGCGGACATTTATGAGACTTTCACCCAGTGTGAGGTAAACATTCCGCTCCTTAACTTAATGAAAATTGTCCCCCGTTTTGCTAAATTTTTAAAAGAATTATGCAAAACAAAAAGAAAAGATAAATTGAAGGGGAAACAAGAGGTTAAAGTTAGTGAACGTGTCTCACCTATTTTTCAAAGAAGACTCCCCGAAAAATGTAGCGACCCGGGCATGTTCACTATCCCTTTCAAAATAGGGGACACAACATTTCCTAGGGCCTTGTTGGATTTAGGGGCATCAATAAATGTCATCCCCTATTCTGTTTATAAATCTCTACAACTTGGCCCACTACATCAAACCAGCGTAGTGATTCAACTGGCGGATCATTCTAGTGAGTAATACATCCGCACCAGCCTTAGTCTTAAACCCCAAATCCTGGATTGAGGAGATACATCCCAAATCAAACCAAACATACCCGCCATTTTTCCACAAATATTGAACTCAAGTGATGCCTTCGTTTCTACTTGCTATGCGCCTATGGTGGGCTGTAAAGATGTTGAGGTCCTTATTTATAGAATAAATTTCAACCCTATTTAATGTTTGAGTGTGTGCACGTGTTTTTTTAAGTTCAAAAGCCACTTTCAAAATCAAAAATCGTTTCATATAACCCCACTAGGGGTGGATTCGGTTCGGGCCACCCGGCCCGTGACCCGGCCCGGCCCGGTCTGGCGGTCCGGGACAGGGTGTAGACCCGAACCGGTGGGGAGGGGCGGGGGGTGTACGGTTCCTGAAAAAGTTGACCCGGCCCTGCCGGGTCGGGCCCGGGTCCAACGGTCCAATTTTAAAAAAAAAATTGTTGGGCACCAAACTAGCCGTTATGGCCTTGGGGGATGGGTTGGGGACAACCCAAACGGCTATATAGCCGTTGGGTGGGGTGCATGGGGGGTCCGGGGGTGGGGGGGGTGGGGTAAAAAAACCTATAAATACTCCTAATCTTAAACATTTTTTCATCTCTCTTCTCCAATTCTTCCTAAATCCTATTCTTAACTCTCTACTCTCTAATTCTCTTATTCTCCAATATATTATATTTATTATTTATATATCTACTTTATATTAATTATCTACTTATAATTTATAAATACATACATTATAATATTATATTACTTATATTTGTTATCTAATTATATATTACTTATACATTTATTATATCTATTAATATAGTTGGAATTATATCTAATTAATTTGAAGTCATTCTATTACTCCCATCCGAAAGACCGAAACGTCCGAAAGTCCGAAAGAGGTACGAAATTATTCTATTATTTACACTTGTTTAATTTTGTATTAATTTAATTGTTAGTAAAAAAAATAGGTTGTACACAAAACTAGTTAATTCACTAGTTAATTTGCTATAACTAGAATTAATAGTTAGATTAATAGTTAATTACTTTATTACAATTTTTTATTAATTGCTACATTTGACTCTAGTTTAAAGAACTAGTTGTAATTCTAATTATAGTTAAAGTTAAAGTGTATTAATTTAATTGTTAGTAAAAAAATAGGTTGTAAACAAAAGTAGTTAATTCACTAGTTAATTTGCTATAACTCGAATTAATAGTTAGATTAATAGTTAATTACTTTATTACAATTTTTTATTAATTGCTACATTTGACTCTAGTTTAAAGAACTAGTTGTAATTCTAATTATAGTTAAAGTGTATTAATTTAATTGTTAGTAAAAAAATAGGTTGTACACAAAACTAGTTAATTCACTAGTTAATTTGCTATAATTCGAATTAATAGTTAGATTAATAGTTAATTACTTTATTACAATTTTTTATTAATTGCTACATTTGACTCTAGTTTAAAGAACTAGTTGTAATTCTAATTATAGTTAAAGTTAAAGTGTATTAATTTAATTGTTAGTAAAAAAATAGGTTGTACACAAAACTAGTTAATTCACTAGTTAATTTGCTATAATTCGAATTAATAGTTAGATTCATAGTTAATTACTTTATTACAATTTTTTATTAATTGCTACATTTGACTCTATTTTAAAGAACTAGTTGTAATTCTAATTATAGTTAAAGTTAAAGTGTATTAATTTAATTGTTAGTAAAAAAATAGGTTGTACACAAAACTAGTTAATTCACTAGTTAATTTGCTATAACTCGAATTAATAGTTAGATTAATAGGTAATTACTTTTTTACAATTTTTTATTAATCGCTACATTGTTTAGATGGATCGTCCTAGATATTCGGTTGATATGGGTAACCTCGAGCGCAACCGAACGAAAGAGCTTGCGAGGAAGAGATCCCGCAAAGGTAAATCACATATCGGCTCTTCATCTCAAAGTCGAGATGATTTTGATACGGGTTACGCGAGGAGGGATGGGGATGCGATGACCGACGAACAACTAGAACAAGAATTGCACCGACATAATTCCCGCTTTTTTCAAGACCAACCGAGGACCATTGACGAAGAAGAGCTCGAGGACGAGGACGAGGATGTGGAGGAAGTAATTCCGGAGAGCCACGACGAGGAGGAGGAGGAGGGTGGCGGCAGCCATGACGCCGACCAGCCTGCCTCATCCCAAACAGGTACAAAAAAAAGTAAATCTGAATAATGGCTAATAATTTTTCTAAGTGGAAGGACCCGAACACCGGGAATTGGACCGCAACTTGCAATTGGTGCAAGAAAAACTATAGCTTGGGGATTTCCGGCAGATACGGATCCGCCACAAGACACCTTAGGTCCAAACACCCGGTGGAGTATGCAAAAATTAGGCGGCGGAACGGGGAAGCAAACTCAAATATCGAGGTTTGCAAATAACCAACAAGCTTTTGGTAATTTCTCATACAATGATGCACAAATTTTGACAGGTATGGCTAACTTACTTGTTGAAGAAAATTTGCCTTATTTGTTTTCTGAAAGTCTTGCTTTTCGTGATTATGCACAAACTTGTTTAAATCCGCAATATAGAGGTTATAGTCGCAAAACGGTTAAGAAAGAAATTTCAAGGCTTTATGGTGCGGAAAAGGTAAGGTTCCAAAATTATTTTGCAAACTTTGATGGACGTATTACTGTATGTTCTGACATATGGGAGGATACTTATCATAATTTACATTATTTGGGTCTGACTGTACATTATATTGATAATGATTGGCATATGCATAAACGTGTTCTTGCTTTCCGTGAATTTAATGATCGTCACACCGCTGAACATATTTATATTTTGATTGAGCGTATTTTAATTGAGTATAATTTAATTGATAAGGTGTTTGCTATTGGTTTTGATAATGCTACTAATAATACTGCTGCTATTCCTAGATTGCATGAATTGTGTGGTTCTACTTCTTTGATGGGTAGATTTTTTCATCAACGATGTGCATGTCATGTTCTAAATTTATGTGTGCAAGATGGTCTAAAAGCGTTGGGTGCATCGTTGGAGGTAGTCAAGGGGGGATTAGACGTATTTGGGGTAATGGACAACTTAGGAAAAAATGACATGATTATTTGATAGAAAGAGGTGAGAGATATGTGGCTTTTCCTAAAGATTTGTCTATTCGTTGGAATAGTACCTATAAGTTAATTGGAGTTCTTCTTAGATATAAACAACATTTTCCTGCTTTTATGAAACAATATGATAATTATATTATAAACTCGGCTGAGATCGACACCTGTGAAAAAATTTGTAATGCTTTGATATATTTTAATAATGCAACTGAAACTTTTAGTCATGTTTATAAACCTACCTCAAACCAATTTATTCGTGAAGCTGTTAATCTCGCCGGTGCTTTTTCAAATTTTGAGAATGCTGGTTATGTGAGTTATTTTGCTAGTTTTATGAAGGAAAAGTTTTTAAAATATTATTCATATATTCCGCATATTTATGGTATTGCATTTGTTCTCGATCCTCATTTTAGACTTGGTTCTTTAGAAGAATGTTTGAATTATTATTATGCTGCTTTTTTTGGTCCATTGCCAATGTATGAGGACAACCCAATTGATCCGAAAAAAGAATACAACGAGGTTAGTGATATATTTTATGCATTATTCAATGAGTTTCATGCACAATATGGCAATGTGCCCCCTCCCCCGACACAAACATCATCTAAAGGAAAATCAATTTTCAAATCTACATTTGCCAATCTTATTAAAAAACGAAATCAACTCCCGCTACACAACAAAGCACAATTAATGAGATTTCTTTGTATTTAACTTATGATGTTGATTTTGAAGAAAATGATGATTTTGACGTACTAAACTGGTGGAAGGGAAAAAAAAGAATGTTCCCGGTTTTAGCAAAGATGGCTAAGCAAGTGATATCAATGCCGTTTTCAACGGTTGCCGTGGAACAAGAATTTAGTTCGGCCGGCAATGTCCTAACACAAATCAGAACGAGGTTGAGCGCTGAATCTCTTGAGATGCTTATATGCTACCACGATTGGTTGAAAGCAGCCCGTAGAGCTCAAGAAATTGACATCACCCCATCCCAGCACTTTATGGATGAATCTACAACCGATGGTGGCTCTACCTATGCCGGAGATTCCGATTGAATGATTGATTAGTATTTCATGTTTTAAAAACAATTGTAGTTCCTATTTAATTTTCAAATGTAGTTCCTATTTCATTTCAAATAAATGCACTTGAAGTTTGTTTTTTAATACTTGTATAAAACTATAAAGTATAACATATAAATTATAAAAACAAAAAAAAAATATTTAACCGACCTGGCCCGGCCCGGCGGGTGGCCCTACCCGTGACCCGGGCGGATGGCCCGGCCCGAACCGGACCCGTCCAACACTCAGGCCGGTCCCGGGCCCATATGATACGAACCGGCGGCCCGACCGGGCCTAGGCCCGGCCCGGCGGGTGGCCCTACCCGTGATGTTTGTATGTTCAATGATGTTTGTATTAACGGTGTTTGTATTATTAGTAAAAAATAATATAAGAAGTGCCCTGCTGAAACGAACTGCCCCGGTGATGCCAACCAATCAAGGGGGCAGATATGGTACTCTGTTGGAGGAGAAATTTTTATCTGGAAAACATACTACGGAATTTTATTATGACAAATAAATTCCGACCTTCATAATTGAAAATTCGCAGAAGTGGAAGAATTTATTTTTTCATGATATCTTACAAAATATCTCACTTACACACTGCAGGGAATACTATGATGCTAATAATAAACAGAGCCATAGGAATTCATGTCACATTCCTATTTTTTATTTTTATTTTTAACTCGGTCTGTAAATGTAATAATTACATATAGGTTAGATTTAGGTCACAACCAGGGCATCCGGATTCCGGAGCAGGTTTCGGGTACACATTTCTACACCTTTCACAATGAATTTATTTCTATTGCCCTAACTAAAATTGTCCAGAAGGTTATGTTTCCGCAACATTTTCTTCTAGCTAGTTTATAATGGGATTATTTTAATACCATTATAACACAGGCAGTTGCATATGGATCAATATCATGAAACTATTTCAAAATTAGTTTTGAAATTAAATAATACAAAAAACATTTTTTTTTCCTAAACAATTTATTTTTTTTCCTAAACTATTGAAGGGAAACTTATTTTGTTTTCCCTTCAATCTGTTTTCGCATCACCATTTTATTTTTAACCCAGACCATGTATTATCCCTGTCTGAAATATTATAGAAACATTTTTACCTGCAAATTAGCCCAGAAAATCATTTAGCACATAAACATTTATGAAAGAAACCTCTCTCGAACTGCTTTTACACGTTTGTATTAAAGGCTCCGCATTTCATAAACTCGGATTATTTCATAAACATTTAGTGCTTAAAATTATATTTTCACACATCCATTTTTGAAGGATAATGGCACCATATTTTTACTGAAAAGTTATGTAATGCACATTTAAAAACATAAATTAGTCCAGAAAATCATTTGTGACCTCATCACCACAAACGTCCATTGGATTTTTACTGTGTTCATAATACACACATTAAATCTGGGGTTTTTAACAACTAAAGGTCCTAGAAAAAGTATGTATCTTAACATGAATTAAGGTCGAAACGAAGAAAACCTTGTAACCTTTGGATGTTACAGTCTATTAAACAAAAGAGACAAAATATGTTATATAGATATGCATCGGTAGTACACCTGATAGGCACTCCTTATTTGCCAACTCCATGGCATCAAAACAACTAAAAACAATACCCGTAGGCAACCCCAAGACCATAAGGAGTCATGGGTGACAAACGTTCTGCTGCCCGAGTCCATGACTAAACCCCACATCTAACCGGTTGTTCAAAAGCCACTTTCAAAATCAAAAATCGTTTCATATAACCCCACATTTTATTTAAACAACCGGTTACTACTAATTACAAATTGTGAAGACCAAAAGCCACCTTAAATAATTCACATGTTTAATATCACACGTTTTCCTAAAAACCTTTTCATAATCTCGGCCGTACACCTTTTCCTAAAACACACGTTTGCCTAAACACCTTTTCCTAATTTGAATTTTGAATGCATAATGCCACCCAAATTCCCTCCCAAACTCCCCCACACTTTTCCATTTTAATATATATATATATATATATATATATATATATACATATATATATATATAGAGAGAGAGAGAGATTAAGATACATAAATTAAGTCCCTAGTATGGTAGAATAAGGTCGAAACGAAGAAAACCTTGTAACCTTTGGATGTTGCAGTCTATTAAACAAAAGAGACAAAATATTTATATAGATATGCATTTGTAGTACACCTGATAGGCACTCCTTATTTGCCAAGTCCATGGCATCAAAACAACGAAAAACAAAAACCGTAGGCAACCCCAAGACCATAAGGAGTCATGGGTGACAAACGTTCTGCTGCCCACAAAAACCGTAGGCAACCCCAAGACCATAAGGAGTCTAAAATTGAAATACACACGCCATAGGACAACATAGGAAATAGTTAGTCTAAACGTTGCCCTGTGCTTTATCTTCATCACTTTTCTGCCTTCACTCCCTTGAGCTTCTTAGTTGACATCGAGGCCGAATCTCCGAACAGGTCACACTTGAGCCTCTCTGTGTCAACTTCCAAAGCCTGCCTTCTCTCCTTAGTGATCAAAGGGGTGTGCGCAGATTTCTGTGAGGGTCCAGCCTGAAGTTCACCATGCACTGTGAGTGTTTGAACTGGTAGTTGCAACTCTATGCTTAAACCTAAGACTAAGAGAAACAATTACCTCTTCAGTCCCAGAAAACTCTTTTGCCAACCTTGTAAATTCATCCTCCTCCTAAGTGTGGACTCGGGAATGTCAGTCGTGAAATATGGTTTCATGTAGTTAACACGAAATATAATTTTTACCTCTGCAGGGTTTATCTTATCCGAGTAGAGTGCCAGGACTTTGGGATCGGTGTTTATCTTTATCACGCTGAATGTCTGGTTTCCTTTAAAACTCCTGCTCTCTCTCTTAAACTTAACCTTGAACAAAGCCTTTATGTCGATCAAAGAGTTAATCTTAGATGGAAAGTAGTGAGGTCCAAAGTTTCGCTGCAAGTAATACTCATAGGTTAGCAAGTCAGTTAACATCAACACAAATGTACTATTAAAACGGGATTTGGAATCAAAATTGACCCTAGATATTTGTTCCTTCAACGATGCTACAGACTTCCCAAGCAAGCAAGAGACCTCCCTATCCCAAAGCAAGAAAGAGGCGTGGGTCGTGTCATCAACGACCCTAACATTGACCTTGTATCTCAAAACCGCATCATTTGAGCTACATGTCACACACCAAAACATGGCGTTGTTTGGCGAGACCTTCCTGTTAAACAAACCGCTCAAATTAAATTTCAGAATCACATACCTCCTCTAGTTTGCAGAGAGCTTCAATAGTTATTAAATCCTGCTGCCCGCTCGCAACATCAACTTCGTTGGAGTTATCCGAAGTTATAGTAAAGCTTAAACCCTGACCCGACCTTTCAGTCATCCTACTTTACATAAAGATTTGATTAATTAAATTCCGCATATTTATTATAGGAAATTATCCTGTTAGAAATTTCATACCTAGACTTGAATTCCACCAACTCGTCCTCTGTTCCGTTGAAAATCACTTTTGTTGTGTTGAACATGTTGGAAACGTGAACATGGCCTAGCGAAAAAATTCATTTGTTAGTCATTTTAACAAAAACAATCTAAACTTAACATGTATTAGTTATAGGAAAACCTTGATACTTGCGTGCCCTGCAACATTACAGCAGCATAACTATAGGATCGGACGTAGTGTGCTTCTACGTCAACAACATTTCAACCATTGGTCCCCAGAGAGTGCATGCTATAACGTTTCCGCTACATATTATACACGTTTAAGTATCACTTTGATGAAATTTCAGTCTGGTAAATTAAACCCCATTTTTTTAAAAAATGACAACTCACTCCGTGTCACCCAAAATCAATTCCATTAACTTCTTTGGCCTTTCATTCTTCAAAATGGTCTTTGGGTCCTTGTCGTAAACAACTTGTCCTATTATATCTATACACATATACATAGATGTACATAGAAGAATTAATTAATGTACAAAACCGAGAATTAAAATTATGTGTTTTAGACAAACTTGTGGTGCACCAATTCCATATTTCTCATCGATGTTGTCTTGTGCTTGCAATGAAAGTCCTTATAGGGAACGGGACTCCTTTGATCTCAAATGCGGCACTTTTGTTAAAGAAACAAAGCCTATAAGCGCTCGTGGAAGTTTTGAAAAACATCTAATTTTCCTCGACCATAAAGTTCTTGACAGCGAATACTCTCCCCTCCTTAAATATTCCAATGAACTTGTTGATAAACTGAACTTGTCCGGAATGTGTGCATGCATTTTGGAGCCCTGAGGTTGAAAATAGCAATTGCTTAAATCTGGTATGACATGAAAGTAGAAAATACAATCTACAAAAGTGATCAAAAAAACTCTCAAACCTCTTCGTCATGAAAGACGACTTCCAACGACTCGGGAAAGCAGTCGTGAGCCGGCTCTCGGTAAACCCGGATTGCTCTAGCCTTGATGGTCGATGTAGTTTTCCTCTGGTCTATTTCACGGAATAGAGACCACATGCCAACCATTTTGAGAAAAGTTGTTAGTTTTTCTGTTTTGTTTCGGAAATTTGTGTGTGGTAATGGAGTGCCCGTGTGCCAACATTTATAACCCTAGCACAGGCTAATGAGAGCAAGACATTGTACAATTTCTTTTGAACCAATGGGATTTGATATAGGAATTGGGGGGATTTTTGTTTTTCAAATTTGGAATTGCAAACAGTGCCAACAAATCATTCCATTATCGACCCTAACTCTCATCTTTTAAAAGCCATTGTCCGTATGAAATACACTGTTCTGCAAGAACCCGTCTAATTAAAATATAGCACATTGTAGTGGAAATCACAAAGAAATTTGCACAGTGTCTCGAAGTGATTGCATCCATTCGTTAGAAAGCAAAATGCTCACACGCAAGGGCCTGACTTTACCTTTTATGCACAACAGACTTGGAAATCTGAAGTCCATAGAAATACAACCCCAAGAGCTGAAAGGGACGTTTTTGAGGGGGAAAACCAACCCCAAGTTCATTTTGCTTTTAGATATTAATAGATAATATGATGTAATATTTACCTTGAAATTTGAGAAATAATTCCAAAAATTAAACTTACAAAAAATAATAATATTTATATGCAGGACCTGAACGACGAGTTCTGCCTAGATGAGTCACGAGCAGCCTCCAGCGGCAACTGACGAGCAACAGACCTCAGTTTTAGAGATGGTGATTCCCAGCGAGTCTACGACGGCGAACAGTGATTTCATTGTGCGTGGATATATACATAGTTCTACTGAAGTGAGCATACACAAACGCAAAGTTGAGCATAATAGCGATTTTAAATGAGCTTTATAAATTTTTCGATGCTCGTTTCATAATTTATATATGCTCAATTGATATTGGTGCAATACTCATTTTAAAATGTCATACTCATGCATATTTGAAAAGTATAATATCACATTAAATTCACATAATAGATTTATACGGGTTCATCGTAGATATTTAAAAAATAAGAAAAACAATGTGAATTCTAATATAGGAAGTCGATATCACGATGCTAATGTTGGTTGTGTTTCGGAAAACAAAGAAAATAATTAATAAAAATTAATTAATTAAATGACTAAAGAAAACAGAAAATAGATGAAGCAGAGATAAGCCAAATGCTCATGCTACGCACGATGTCCTTAAAACGTATTCGTCGCCTCCCACGGTGCTGGGAGCGTTGCAACGACCGTTTCCCATGATACGGTGGATAACGAACTAACGTTTGAGCACACAAACGAAAGTTCCGGTGAAAGGGAACAAAGGTAGAACACTCAGGAATTTTTCAGGAAACAAGAGGTATTTTTAGAGCTCAAAATACGTGCAGATTGTGTATGATTGCATGTGTTGTTGCAAAGCACCTGTCAGGTATTTATAGGAAAATTTGTGGTGTTTTAACCGAGCTTTAATGGATCTGAACGTTGCACATAAATGTCCAGCACATTGGGCATTAATATGTTAAAAACTGTCCATTTAAAGAAGCATTAAAGGACAAGAACGGTGGACATTTAAAGGCTGTAACGCCTTGGAGCAGTTCTGGTGTGAGCAGAGGTCTTCTGGTCCTAACAGAAGCAGAGCGAGCGTTTATGTTGAGGACAGAAACCCCTTCTGTTCCGGACAGAAGTAGAGCGTTTCTGTTGAGAACAGAACCCCTTTCTGGTCCGAACAGAAGTGGAGCGTTTCTGTTGGAAAAGAACCCCCTGCCGTCAGTGAAAAAAAATAAGGAACGTTACGGGAAGAAACAAAAATTAAATCGTATCTTTGAATGATAGATTTTCGGATGACATTCGTGTCCGCGGGTCGCCCGCGCACATGAGTTGCGGTTTTTTTCTCCGTTTTCGGGATTTGATCGGTACCCCCCTCCTGCGCGTGAAGAGAGCCTTTCCCTGTAGGAATCTTAACTTCTTCAACGTAATCACCACAACACATCTCAGTTAATTAGTATTTCAAATAGTTTTTTAATATATACTTCGAATCTTATACAATAACCGGTGCATATATTTCAAAAAATAAAATTTAAAGAAAACTAAAAAAATGTGTCGGTTATTATTAAGGAACCTCCAAGCATGTGCCGTAATTTTTTAATACTACGTATAGTTTTGAAATTATCGCTCATGTAGTACCACAAATTAATTTTTTTTCCCAGTAGTGTGGTTTTTGAATCAACTCTGAAATTTAAAAAGTTCAATTTAGATTGAGAAAATTGAAATTCTAAACTTACACCTCATCTCATGTCCTCACATGATCACGTTGTCCATATATATAATACGGAATAATCCCCACCCGTCATAAAATAATACTCCCTCCGTCCCTTAAAACTTTCCCATCTTTCCTTTTTGGGATGTCCCAAAAAACTTTGCCACTTTCCCTTTTAATCAATTATTTTGTGGTTTCATTTATTTCTCTCTCCTCTACACAAACCTCAACCATACAGTTTTTACTTTATTATTCTCTGTGCCGGTCAACTTTGGCAAAGTTTTAAGGGACGGAGGTAGTAGTTACGTTACAGATTTTGAGGTTTGGCTGATGATAAAACAAACTTCTCCGTGATAATTTTAAAACCGGAACCATAAATTAAAGTTTACATATTCATTTCACAATTCAGCAGATTTATCCAGAATTTCATCAACTTAGCAGTTACAACCAGTTCAACCATTTTGAGTTTTACCAAACGGGTTCTAAAAATTTGAACTAATTTTTAATATTTTTTGTGTGATTTTTCGGGGACCAAAACTAGTAAAACTTTATCGAAACTAGTAATTTTTTTATGTCTAGTCGGATAAGGGATGGTTCCGGTGAGAATGGTGTCCCAGGAGAGAAATGAGAACAAAATACAACCATAGATATAATTGATCGGACGGACAACAAAAAAAGATATCTGGAATTTATTAGGCCAATTATCGGCTAATTTAAGTGGATTCGTAAGGGAAATTCTAATATTAATTGACTATCAAGGGCATGGATTACCAATCATGGTTTAAAACTGTTTTCCACGTTAAGTGCATATCGGTTCTTTCCTATTATTTAGCAAATCAATTACTCTGTACCATGTAATGATTATGACCATATTGCTTCAAAAAGTTTTCAAATACTTTTTTAAACTTAGTACTCCACGATCTCCCATTAATTGCTCTTCGTATTTCATTTTTAAATCACGAATTATGAGAAATTAAAATGAACAAAATTCCGGTCCCAATAGTTAAAAATAGCAATCTTATTAAAGTGCATGTCATAGAATATGATCATTAGCATTGTGCAATGTGCAGTATGTATAGTTGGAATGTGAAGAAAAAATGAAGTGCTTTTCAAGGTTTTAGGACATGCACTTCTCCGTGAAGCATTTTACACTTTAAATTTCTTTTGCATTTAGTGAATGTTTAGTTTGCACTTTTGTGCATTTTATATCAATCTGCACTTTGTGAATTGCACATATATGACTTTGGCTTGCACTTACTATAATATTTATTACACTTTACACATATCATTGTGCACTTCCATACATATTTCTAATCAAAAACATTAAAAAACTGAAAATAAATAAACATGGGTGTAAAAACTACAAGGATATACTATCATGTTCATTTAAGTATATATACAAGTGCATTACTATATCACACTTTTTAAATTTTTACATTGCAATTTTATCCAAAATGAATGCAGTTTAAACATGTGCATTTAAATTTAAATATATATAAAAGTGCATTATTCTCTCACACTTTCTTAAAATTTTACATAGACATGTGGTGCAGTTATGATACTTAAAAGGTGCAATATATATAGGTGTGTTAATGCAATTTTTAATAATATCTAGAGGATAATTAATATATGAAAATGCATTTAAACACAAAAAAGAAGGTATATTTAAACATAAGGTGATTAAATGACCAAGCTTTGTAACAAAATATGAAAAAGAATGTTTTCTCCGTAACACATATCTTGAGAATAATGAAGGTAAGAAAGAATTAAATGGGATAAATGGATTTATTTTGATTTATTAAAAGTAGTTTGATAAAAAATTCTGATGAGAACCGTGCAGCACATAAAAAGAAATTGGATGATTGGCTATGCAAGATTATAGGGAGATAGTTAAGGAAATATTTGCAAGATTGTGGGGGAGTACTGAACCGTGTAGCTTTAATGTGGCGCCCAAATTCTCTTATTTACCCTTGATGAAATATTAAAGAGCTTCATGATCGGATGGTTATAAATCATTCTTATTTCTTTCCTAAGGTGATTTTCTCACTTGAACCCGAGTCGGATATTTATACTCAATAAGATTTATTTACCCAATAAAGTTGTGGAGTAAAATTAAAAAGAGCCTTACTAGTCCGTATTTTTTTAAACAGAGTAAAAGACCAGCGGGACGTTTAAAACATATAGAGGCCGTTTGGCAACACTGTTTTTTGGCTTATCAGACTTATCAGCCAACTTTTTCACCAAACACGTAACTTTTGCTTTCGCGTCGTGAATTGTGTAATAAGCAGAAAAAGTAAGGTCGGAGTTACTTTTCTGGCAGTATTGGCTGAAATTACTGTAGATGACAATTTTAGCTATTTTTCAAATAATTTTTTCCTTATTTTATTAATAAAATATATTTTGAAAATATTTTTTGCTTAAATCAGCAGAATCAGCCAATGCAACTAGAACTTTATAAATTTCACGTAATTAAATCGTGCTACCAAAGGGGTTCATACGGCAAATTATACCGTACACCCGGATGTACGGTCCTCACCGTACATCCAGGTATTTTTGAAATTATTATCAACTTCTATGTCCGATGATTCAAGCTTCCGTTGCTTCTTTCATGGAGCCGGAGTCCGCTAACGTGCCATGTTCTCCGCTCGAAGGAGTATGGCTTCAAATTGGGGAAAACGGAAAACTTACTCAAATTGGACGAAACTGGTGTCAAAAGCTTCGCCTCAGCAAGACGAGTCCAGAACAACTCTCAGAATTTGATTTAAACGTGTCGTTTGGGAGCTACGAACAAAAAACCAGACTGCTCTTAACAGTGGTGTGCACAACGGCTCTTTGCTAACTCCGGCCAAACAGCACCTCCGGCCACCGGAAATGGGTTGGGGAGGTGCGCCTAGAGGTGGCGACCCCCACAGCACTCTTTGATTCCAACAACAACCGTCAAAATTTGGATTAAAGACCAAAAAATCAAAATTGTGAATAGTAAATTGTTGCGCACAAATCTTCAGAAATCCCTCATTTTCTAGCTAAAACCCCCAAATTTTCCAAATCCA